CTGAAGATCACGTGACACTGAAGACTGGAGTAATGATGCTGAAAATTCAGCTGCGCATCACAGGAATAAATTAGATTTAAATGTATATTAAAATATAAAACGTTATTTTACATCATAATAATATTTCACAATATTAATTTTTTTTCCTGTATTTTTGATCAAATAAATGCAGCCTTGATGAGCACAAGAAACTCCTGTAAAAAAACAAAATCGTTCTGATCCCAAACTTTTGACTGTGTATATATATATATATCCACCTAAAATGCAATATTCTCATCAGTTGTGGGTTAAATAGAATTGCATTTCTAAAAAGAGACTAAAATACAATTTTCATTGACTAAAACTAGACTAAATGTCATCAGTTTTCGTCGACTAAAACTAGACTAAATGCTCAGACTTTTAGTTGACTAAAACTTGACTAGACTAAAAAGAGTATGAACGTGACTAAAACTAATAAAAACTAAAATGACAGCTTCACACAAAGACTAGACTAAAACTAAAATTAAAACAGGCCGCCAAAAACAACACTACTGATCAGATATGTGTCTGTCTGTCCTGTCATTGTAATCAAAAGTGCTTTTGCATTAAAAAAGATGAGAGAATCGTGTTGCATAAAATGTCTAAAACCTTTTAACTTATTCCAAACAGCATCGCCAAATAATTGACTAACTGCAAGACAGCACACAACAACAAAGCATCTGTTTAAAGACTAATAAACTCACGGCAAGTCGGATATGTAATCTGATTAATGATGTGTGATGATTTGCATGTCCACAATATGAAGTGCTGGTCAACATTACCTTAAATGAATGGCATTGATAAACAGGACCAGTGCATTTATTTAATACCCTAACTCACATTCCAAACACGTCAGGCTCGGTGAAGATTTGCTGCAAAGATTTTGATTGATACATTTGCATTTTGTCTGGGTCTGTAAATGTCTACAGATGCCAAAAACAGCCTCGAGGGGATGACAAATGTGTTGGCTTGGTTGGTATGCGGCTTCTTACCACAGCTGTTGACTCTGAGATCATAAAATCTGCCTTTGAAAAGTTTCAAAATGTATTTCTGTGATTTGTAGGCCAGATGCGCTGTGTTTATCAGTATCTGTGCCACAGCCACTGCAGGCGTTAATTTCATTCGGGCAATCATTTGTTGGTGATATTTGAGGGACTCCTGTCCAAAATGTGGCTTAAAACTAGTTTTAGCCTTGAAGAAGTGAGTAGTGATTTTAATAGAGATGTGTTTAAATTGATGTACACTTGTATGGGACGAAGACAGTCATTGCAGTGGAAAATTGCATCAATCCACACAAATATGTATTACAATATTTTAAGACCACTCCAATTTTTTTCATTAAAATAGATCATCTTTGTTTTGTGCGTTTTATCAAGAAAACTGTTCAAGTGCCTTTCATATGAGTTTGTGTTGTGTTTGCAAATAATATGACTGGAAACTTAAAGTTAGGAAAAAACACCTGCAAGTCATTTTCTCTTGCCCTGGGCTGACCGTTAGAGCTTTTAACCCTCATTAAAAAATAAGAGAAAATGCTTCTCTTCCTATACAGATGTCTTTAAAATCACAACAAGACATAGAGGGCCTTATTTGCTCAAATTTCATATATTTAGTTTCACTTTCAAGGTATGAAAGCGTCAAATGTTGATGTCTTTCAAGAAATAGTTCACCCAAAAATGAGAATTTGCTGAATATTTACTCACCCTCAGACCATCTAAGATGTAGATGAGTTCATCAGAATAGATTTGGAGAAGTTTTGCGTCATTTGCTCAGCAATGGATCCTCTGCAGTGAATGGGTGCCGTCAGAATGAGAGTCCAAACAGCTGATAAAAACATCACAATAATCCACACCACTCCAGTCCATCAATTAACATCTTTGTGAAGCAAAAAAGCTGCAACAAATCCATCAAGGCATTTTTTAGCTTAAAATTGTCGTTTCTGGCCCAAATATGCCTCCATAATAACACTTCCTTCAGTGAAAAAGTCCATCCGCTGTTGTTTTCGCACATCAAAATCCACCGACACATTTGTTTAGAGCTGTTTTTGCTTGTAATCGTTGCTTGATCTGTGCATATTTCTCTTCTGATTCAGACGAGACGACTTCCAGAAAGCAATATTCTGGATGGAGGACTCGTATTTTAGCCAGAAGCAACAAAACTTTTTTTTTCTTTGCAAACACACATCTTTTTGCTTTCGCAAGATGTTAATTGGTGGACTGGAGTGGTGTGGATTACTTGTGGATTATTGTGATGTTTTTATCAGCTGTTTGGACTCTCATTCTGACGGCACCCATTCACTGTAGAGCATCCATTGGTGAGTAAGTGATGTAATGATACATTTCTACAAATCTGATTAAGAAACAAACTCATCTACATCTTGGATCACCTGAGGGTGAGTACATTTTCAGAAAATCTTCAATTTTGGGTGAACTATTCTAGTAAAATTTCAGTATGTACTAATACAATATGTACTGAAATTGATATCTATAGACAAATTGAAAAATAAAGTGTAGTAAAATTTTGGGTGTTTTCTTTTTAGCAGAAACAAAACAGCCCTAAATTGACCAGCGTCTGAAAAAACTGTTAAAGCTAAATTAAATCTATAGACTAACTAAATACTAGACTAACACGTCTTACATTTATGTTTATTATTTGGTGCTTTTAGTACAACATTTAAAAATTAGGTCCAACTTAGGTTTTTGCTTCAGAACCCAGATTTTATAGCAGACATCAAGTGGGCACCCAAAATAGTTTATTTTTATTATTTGGTGCTTTTAGTATAACAACTAAAAAAGTAGGTGCAATGACTCCCCTGAGCATTTTAAGTGCAGTATTTGCTTTATAACTGCTTCTTACAACTTGTTCTCAATGTACTTTTTATAATGATTCTTGGGAGAAGCTCTCACTAGCCTGTACCACACTCTATATATTCCCAAACATTAATTTCATTCTTCTAAAGAAATGCATTCTTAGTAGACACACCTTCTGAAGCAGTAGTATGAAGCATTTAATCCAAGTGCGTAAACTCGTGTTGCTTGTCAAACCCATTTCTATACTCTGATGTGTCATTAACTGCGTTCCCGTAATGAATCCAGCCATCATTCCCTCTCATGACAAGCATAAATCAACTCTCAATGCAACATAATCCCTTTTCCCTCACACAGCCTTGGGGCTTTTCTTCCTTCTCTCCCACACTCGGGAGCTCAGGTGTGTCTTTACAAGCTTCAGTTTTCAGAGTTATTACTGCACAATCCATTGCTGGCAGCTACAGGTACGCGTACACAAGCCCGGGACCACAACACACTGAGATCATCAGCAGAAGACCCCGTCTAATCACCTTCAAACTCTCCATCCCGCTGCGTGGAAGTGATACTGTGTAAGTGTTTATAGTCGTTTCTGTGTAACCAGCTGTGCTGCGGTATTAAGAGTAATAATACAGTGACATGCAAATTGTAAGTCAGGGCTCTATTGTTCTCTATAGAGTATTGGACTATGATGAATCATTTTTGGTAGAAGCCGAAGCTGTTCAGTCAAGTCTAGTCCAACCACATGCTATTTGTCTTCATCTGTAAAGGTATGTGTGGAAAATATTCTGTCACAGCTGATGTAATGATTTCTTGGTTAGAATGTTTTAATATACAGTCGTGGGGTGTTATCTATGTCAGTACTTTGTCCAAAATAAAAAATGTGTTTTGAGCTTTTTTTTGGTGATACTTTGTGGTTAAAATAATCTGATGAATTCAGCATATTTTTTTTTTTTTTTTTTTTTTTTTAAGAAAAAGAACATAACCTCAACAAAATAAGATTTGTTAATGTGCAAATGTCAAATGTTTTATTTGACTTTGTTTTAACATAATCAGTAGTGTTAATGAGCAAGTTTTTGTTAGAAAATGTAATCATTTAATTTATTGTATTTTTAAAACAGCAATTTTGTTTTTAATGTTTCAGTAACTTCTATTTTTATTTTTAATATTACAATTAATATCGCAATATTGTATCTAAATATTTAGTTGGTTTTGTTTTAGAAACTAATATTTGATTTTATTTGCAATATAGTAATATATATATATATATATATATATATATATATATATATACACACACACTTCATAAAGATAAACAAAATTGTGCCAAAATGTAATATAATATTACTATTACTATCATATATGAAAGATAAACTGTCCTATCCAGATAAAATAAGTAATATTATATTAAATTTTAGCACAATTTCGTTGATCTTTATGAAGTAGAGAGAGAGAGAGAGAAGTGAGTAGAGAGTAGAATTTTAAAATTTGGCATTTTTAAAAATAAAATTACAAATAAAATAAAATATTAGTTTCTAAAATGTAAAGCCAACTAAATCCAGATAAAATAAGTAATATTATCAGTTTTGTTGATATTTATGAAGTACCAACTGCTGTGATGGCAGGCCTTGGTTGCATGACAATTACATTTTGGCAGTTCCAGTTTTGTTCTGCTGTGTTGCATTGCTTAAAAGCAAATCTAATGCTATAATGACTTGTTCTTGCATGTTTTAAATTCGCTGTTTCATCACATGTAAGACTTAAACAGAAGCCCACCTGTACTCCCAAGGCTGTTGTCACGTAAATACATTGTGGCTTTTCTTGAATGAAACTGGACTAGTGCATTGTGGTGAATGATCTATGCTTCCTCTTTGTGTCATAGGCATACTGAAACTGATCAAATTACAGGCTCATCTCACACTACTGAAGTTAATGGATGTCAGTAGTTCTTAAGTGTTTGCTTCAGGACCCAGATTTTATAGCAGACTTCAAGTGGACACCCCCCAAAAAAAAACAGTCCCAAAATTATTTATCATACTTAAAGTAACAAAAATGTCCTTAAAATGAAGCTTGCTCTATCTATCTATCTATCTATCTATCTGTATGATTAATGATGCAAATTTTATGCAAAAACTTTTTATATCCTGCTAAATGATAAATCCAAATACAGATATCCAGATAAATTCTGATTAACAGTGCAGATAAAGTGTTGATAAATGCAGTCAAGATGCCCTCGGTCACTTCGGAGAGCCTGCAAATCATAGGTGTTTATCTGATTGCTTGTACTTGACATTTTGATTGCAGAATACTCAATGAGAAAGATGTTTTGACACCTTGCTTTAATTAAACCGGTAGTAAGCCTTATGGCAAGGGTTGCATTTTTTGTGACATATTTCTCACATTGATTTTGTATCACATTCCTCCTCCTCCACTCATTCATTCATCCTTTCTCTCTCTTCACACACCCGTTTGTCCTATAGGTCCAGCTATGCTGATCCGATTGGAGACATCGACGTTCCTGCTCCTCTGTAAGTCTGCTCAAGTCTTTGACATCGCTGCAAGCTGACAGTGAAATTACCCTATGAGCCCAATCATGGGAAACATGTAATCACTTGCCACCCTTGGATTGAATTTTTTCCCCACTTGTTGACACTTGAATCCTCTAACATGCAGAAGTTGTCTTTCATTGTATATTTTTCAACATATTTCTCTTTCATTTTCATAACAAAGCCAGTTTCAACAAATCACTGTCATTTAGCAATTATTCTGGCTCATACTTGTTTTGGTTTTACATTTTTTGTTATTCAAGTATCCTGTTTTTATTCCTGAAAATTAGTTAAGTACATCAGGCGATAGTTACTTTAAAGCTGCAAATTCCAGCCTGCAGAGATTATTTTCTCATATCATTGTTTTTTGTAAGTATAGAGTGTAGGAATGACCAAAACCCAGAAACTAGTAAATTGTTTGAATGGGTTTTTGGTTAAATGCTTGAAATAATTGATTGTGATTTTATTTTCAAGCTTTTACTTGTCTTTAAAAAATTGGTTGCTAACAAGTAGCTACATGGGAGGTTGTCTGGGACATTTAACTAACAGGAAAAACATCTTGTGTCTTGTGTCTATAATCACGCTCTTGCAAACTATTCTAACTCAAACTTATATAGAATTTTTTTCTAAAATTGAAAGAGTTGTTTCACTGCTTAATAAGGTTTATATTTAGATGTTTATTTTGTCACACCAGAGGAGTTCATTCCATATAAGCTGTGAATGATCTGCATATTCAGGCCATTTGAGAGAAGAAGTTTGGGGACTGGCCAGATATTAAAATTACCATAAATTCCCTTGTTATTTGAGGTGTATCATAAGGCAAATATTGGGAATACATATGTAACTGGCCATGAATTATTTATTTGCCAAATGACGGTTATTTTCTGCAAATCTGTGCCCGTTACGAAAGGATTCAGGCAAATGGATCCACAGTTCAGCTTTGCCACCTGAACTCTATTGCTAAGAATCGTTATTTTTGCGCATTGATTTGTTGGCATGTGAGATTTAATGCACAAAAAATCTGTCCACGAGTTGTTCGTCTAAGTGAAAAAATGTGCTGTTGCTGCCAGATCTCAATTACTGAAAATTGTTTTGAAAAAACAAATATATAGTCATGTTTTCTCAAGTAAAACCAATTTTGAAAGTCCACTGAAAACATATTGTCGTACATTTTTTTGGCGTATACAAAGTATGTTGAAGGTACAAGACAGGAAGTTTGGGTGTGGCATATTGCAAAGCTCCTCCCTTTATTAAACAGCCAACAGGCTTTAGTTTCTTGATTTCCTGCTTGCTGTTGCTAGCCAATAGCAGGTTAATTGAGGGGAGGGGCATTCTCTGTCTAGAAAGCATTTGATTGGAGAACAGTTTTTAGTACAGGTTGAGTCATCAATATGCAGCTAACTTTATTACTTGAAGTTTAGTTAATGTAAAACCTGGTATAACTGAACTTTTGTGATTTGTAGTGATAGCTGCTCCAGTCCGCCTCCAGGATGAATGTGTGGGGAATTCATGTTATCCTAACCTCGGTGACCTCATGGTGGGCCGCGCCGCCCAGCTCAAGGCTTCTTCAACCTGTGGACTCTACAGACCACAAAACTATTGCATCCTGGGATACCTAGAGGTCAGTTGTCAAAAGTGCAACACTTCAAGAGGTCTGAATGTCAGTGATGTGGTTTAAAATATGTATGTCTTCAGAGTATTAAACCAGAAATGAAAGTAGATTCGAAGAGTTGCTCCCAGAACATTGCTTGTTGGGTTTGCAGGGAAAGGCTTCTCTGGATTTTAGTACTACACTTCACTTTGAAACTCGGAAAAACATTTGAAAAAATATCACAAATTCCCAAGTCCTTGAACCTTCAAGCATATACATTTCCCTCAGGACTCCGAGTACAGTTTTCTCAGACATATTTACATAACATCTTCCCAATCCAAACTACCCAGAATACAGTTCAAGCCCAAAGTGGTCTCTTTTCAGCACCCACACTGAGATTAAAAAGAGACAGCATGCTTTTTCCCCCTTTTTTTCAGTGTGGATTGACAGCACTCTGGCTGACCCTTTGGGTGATACATACTAAAGACAAGTTGTGATATGCCTCCCTGAGCTGTCGTATAGGTCATTACCTCTTCCCTGCCACAAGACTAATTTATGCCTGTTTCCATATTCCCCTTTCCTCCCGCCTCATACCCCCGGCCCTGTCTATACAGGTGATAAAGCTGGTATGTGGGTGTGTCGTTCAGCAATCATTTTGTATATTTACACTACTTTTCTTGGCCTGAAGAGCCCACCACAATGGTGCTTCCAATAACAAGTGGTATAAATAAAAGGAAGCTGTAAAAACACTGAATGCATTTCGGGTTGGTTTCTCAGGTGTTAAACTTAGATTATTGATGGGATGGACAGCTCTTGTTCATACATGCCTGCAACAAAGACGTACCCCGCATATCCCCCCTCATTGTCCCTACTATATTCAGGAAATTCTTGTGAATTTTTGCCAGGAGACGTTGTGATATGCCTCCCTGAGCTGTCGTATAGGTCATTACCTCTTCCCTGCCACAAGACTAATTTATGCCTGTTTCCATATTCCCCTTTCCTCCCGCCTCATACCCCCGGCCCTGTCTATACAGGTGATAAAGCTGGTATGTGGGTGTGTCGTTCAGCAATCATTTTGTATATTTACACTACTTTTCTTGGCCTGAAGAGCCCACCACAATGGTGCTTCCAATAACAAGTGGTATAAATAAAAGGAAGCTGTAAAAACACTGAATGCATTTCGGGTTGGTTTCTCAGGTGTTAAACTTAGATTATTGATGGGATGGACAGCTCTTGTTCATACATGCCTGCAACAAAGACGTACCCCGCATATCCCCCCTCATTGTCCCTACTATATTCTGCTTTACTTCAGGAAATCCTTGTGAATTTTTACCAGGAGACACTAATTACATAGAATAATACATTACTGCAGGAGCTTCTGCGACTTGCTCCCTACTGTATGAAGTTTTTAAAAGAATAATTCACTCAGGAAATTCTGTCTTTATTTGTTCATTTTCTCATGTTGTTCCAAACCCATAGAAATTTCTTTCTTCCATGGAACACAAAAGGTGATTTTTTTGGAAGAACATCTTTTCTTGGTGGGTCTTTTCAATATAATAAAAGTGAATGAAGCCTGCGGCTGTCAAGCTCCAAAGTAAACCCAATAAGTAGTCTATAAGACTCTGTGCACTATATTCCAAGTATTCTGAAAGCATTCACTGGTTTTGTGTGAAGAACAGACTGAAATATAAGTCCTTATTCAATTAAAATCTTGCCATCCACCCTTACTCTCCTTGGCGAGTTAATGAGAGAAGTAGTCGTGTTCAATCTTTGAACACATCAGTTTTCTGAATCATCAGTTTTTGATCCTGATCCAAAACTGGTTGGGGTTAATTTCCCTAAAGCATTGTTAAGCAACTATGGTTGCAAGTTCCATCATTACCAATTCTGTATTTCACAAAACCATAGTTCCAACAAAAACTTTGAACTATTTTAGTTTGTCAAGAAAATGGAAGCACCTGGTACCTGGGGAACCTGTAATTAATAAAAAAATCTGGAAATAAAGCTATCAAAGTAGTCCTCAAATGCCATGCTTGTTATTTATAGCTATAATCGGACATTAATTTGATCTCAAAATGCTTATTAGCAAAAGTTATTACTCCACCACCTACTTGACGTCATTAACAACCAGTTACTGTATATTGTTGAACCAACATGGTTCGAAAGACAGATGTGCAAGAAAGTTACTACGGTTTCTGGAAACAGTCAAGATCAGCTAGTTAATTTCTCCAACGATGCACTGCAGTGTGGTAGCTAAAGGTAAGTTAGGCAATTCCGGAGAGGTAGCATAAGATCCCACCCTTCCTGCAAATCACTCTCCGAAGCCACGCCTCCACCAAAATATATGAACGCGCACAGTACAGGCAGACCAGAGCCTAACCAGCAACATGATGAGAGACATGATGAGAAATGCATCTCTGAATGATTCATTCATGAATCTGACTGATTTGGTTGACCCGCCATAACTGTTAATGGAGCAGAAAAACAAGTTTCATTCTTTTCATCACACTAAAATTACATATTGCCATTTTAAAGACATTGCCCTTTATCTCAAAACTCAGAATCAGCGCAAGTGCTTCATCTGTGACTCCAGGAGCCCCTACAATCTCCACCACAATCCCAACAGCCACCGCGTAGAGAACATCATCACCACCTTCCAACCTGAACGCAAGATGAGCTGGTGGCAGTCCGAGAATGGTGCGTTCCTCAAACTACCTTCTTTGCATGAACTTAATTTAAGTAAAATTCTGCTGGTACCTAGAATTTAGACTTAATTTTACTTCGTTTAAAAATTCCAGGTGTGCATGAAGTCAGCATTCAGTTGGATCTGGAATCAATGTTTCAGTTTAGTCATCTGATATTGACGTTCAAGGTACGTTCAATGCTTTCCATGTATCTCATTTAAAAACTTGAATTCATTGATATTTTATTTGATAATGTTTTTGATAACAAATGCTCTCAAACAGAGTTTTCGGCCTGCTGCCATGTTGGTCGAGAGGTCGAAAGACTTCGGGAGAACCTGGAAGGCTTTCCGTTACTTTGCGGAGGACTGTGCCAACTCTTTCCCCGGTGTCTCTGAGGGGCTAGCAGACAGTATTGATGACCTTATCTGTGATAGTCGCTACTCTGGGGCAGAGCCGTCCACCGATGGAGAGGTATAGTCACAGAGCAATCCTGAATTAATCCAATCTCTTCAATTACTTGTTAACATACATATAAGGTTCAGTCTAACTTTGCTTTTCATCCAGGTGGTGTTGAAAGCCTTGGATCCCAGTTTTGACATCCATGATCCTTACGACCCTACTATACAAGGTTCATGTCTCGTTTGAAGATGTTTTGTTTCTTTTAGAAATATGACAGTAATAAAAATGTCAAGCCAGGATGATGTCTAAAGGCATGTCCAACAAGCAAAAGGCCTCGATATCTTAATGATGAGCTCATTGTGAGCTAGACACTTTGAAAAATTCACTGTAAAGAAAATTTACACTATTCAAACTTGTCATAACATAGTTTGTTCCACTGGTTCGCACCTGCTTTTCTTTTTCAGGACCCAAATCATAACTAATGCACTGATATTTAAATTTTGGCCGATATCAATAAGACAGTTATTCATGTTACAGCCAATACTGAAAAATTGTAATATCTAATATCGATAACAAGATATGGTATCAGTAAATTCTTAAACAACATAAGCAATACTTCTTATGGTCCTCAGAGCTGATCACCCTGACGAACCTGCGAGTAAACTTTACCCGTTTGATCACCCTGGGCGACACGTTGCTCACGCGACGGAGGAAGAACCCACAGGATAAGTACTATTATGCCCTCTATGAGATGGTGGTTCGGGGGAGCTGCTTCTGCAATGGCCACGCCAGTCAGTGTATTCCCGTGGATGGCACACGTGGAGATACCTTTAGTGAGCCTGGCATGGTGAGCATACTCCTGCTAAAAAGGAAAAGCACATATGAGACCTCCTTAATATCTGAACAGTTTCTCCTAGACAGCATTGAGATTAATTGGAGATTAATGGAGACATTACATTTCTCCTGAGCTCAGATAGTCTCCTAAGTATCTTCTTTACATTTTCAGAAGAGATCTTAATGTCTCATACTGTGCTCAGATTACCAAAGTCATGAAAAGTCTCAAGTACATTTGAAACAGTTCATTTCCCATCCACATTTCTGAGGAGGGACTTTTAAGTATAGTCACATTCTTTGTTCTTTACACCATTTCTGAAAAATATGCATAAATGTATTTTTTCTTTATAGGGCAGTTAACAATAATTGCTACCTGTCATGCTTTAGTGTAGTAGAAAGGTTTTGCTCTGCTTTTGTAGGTACCTGTTTTTATTCTTAAATTACTAGCTTAGTTTAAAGAAATTATATATGCTTTAAAATGATTGTATGTTTTACAATATTTTGATATTTGCTTTTTTTCTGTCTTTGCTCAAGGTACATGCTAAATGTGTTTGCCAACACAACACTGCAGGGATCAACTGTGAGTGCTGTCAAGACTTCTACCATGACGCCCCCTGGAGGCCAGGTGGAAAAACAGACTCGGATGTTTGCAGAAGTAAGTGGCACTTAGCTAGGCTATTGATAGTTTAAAACACAAAAGACAATTTAAGTGGCTGGAGGAACTGTAGCAATGAAAAGCCATATGCAACTTTTCCTTCAATGTTTCAGGGTGTAACTGCCATGGTCGTTCAGAGAAGTGTCACTTTGACTTAGCACGCTATCTGGCCACTGGTGGGGTTAGTGGTGGTGTGTGTGATGACTGCAGGAACAACCGTGCTGGACCCCAGTGTGATCTGTGTGGGCCATATTACTACCAGGACCCTCAACGCTCTATGGACGACCCCAATGCCTGTATACGTGAGTGACCTGGTGAACAATAAAATCCTCTAGATGCACAAAGAAATTATTCTATTGTGTTTTTCATTGTTGTCCTCTGAAATAATCATTCCATTCCGGTGGAAAGCGTACTTAGATGTTTACATTTATTCATTTAGCAGATGCTTTTATCCAAAGTGACTTACAAATGAGCAATCCAAGAAGCAATTCTTCATAAAGAGGCAAAAAACAAACTAAATAACTTTTCAGGATGCATTTAAGTCCTCCCAGAAGAGATGAGTTTTCAGCTGTCTCGTGAATATTGCCATGGACTTAGCATTCCGGATGAGGGTGGGAAGGGATTTTGTGCCTCTCTGTGATGGTACCACAAGGCGTCGCTTACTTACAGACCTTAAGTTTCTGGAGGGGATGTAGACTTGTAAGAGCTAGTGGAAGTAGGATGGTGCGGAGCCCATGGCTGATCTGTAAGCAAGCATTAATATCATGAAACTGATGCGAGCCGCAACTGGTAGGCAGTGCAGAGAGATAAAAAGAGGTGTGACATGGGCCCTTTTGGGCTCATTGAAGACCAGTCGAGCTGCTGCGTTCTGAATCATTTGTAGAGGCTTAATTGCACATGATGAAGTACAGCCAGAAAGAGCATTGCAGTAGTCCAGACTAGAAATGACTATGGCCTGGACAAGAATTTGTACAGCATTCTCCATTAGGAAAGGCCTGATCTTTCTGATGTTTCCTATCCAGCTTGTGAATGTAATCCTGATGGCTCAGTGGACCGTGGTCTGTGTGATCTAGTGACTGGCCAGTGTGTGTGTAAACAGAATGTTGAAGGAGAGCGCTGTGACCGCTGCAAGTTTGGGTTCTATGGGTTCAGCTGGGACGACCCTAATGGCTGTCAGTGTAAGTGTTCTTTCACCCACAGAATGGGACTCAACTGGCGCATTTCTTACTCAATAACGTCTTAAAATGAGTTTGAATAGCTAAGGCTTTTTGCATTTACCTACTTGCCTTTTTATCTGATCCTTATTCATTCATTTATACATGTCCAGTGTGTAGGTGTAATTTCATGGGAATTATACGCACTGGCAACCCTTGTGATCAAACAACTGGAACATGCATCTGCAAGCCATTTGCTTTCGGCCCACAGTGCGACCAGTGTCTGGTGAGCTGAACCTCTCCATTAGACCACAAGGATATAAACTTAAATAGTTATTAATGCTTGGAAATGTTGATATTCCGCTTTGTTGTCCAATTTTCCAGCCAGGTTACTGGGGTCTGGGAAACACAGTCTATGGCTGCTTACCCTGCGACTGTGACATTGGAGGGGCATTGAGAACCGAGTATGATACTACAGTTTCCTTTCTGAAACAAACCACAGATTAATTGTTTACAAGTCTGTATGTGCATATTCACACAGATGTTCCTCAGTGGATGGCCAGTGTGAATGCAGGCCTAACATGGTAGGCCCCAAATGCAGTGAGCCGGTCCTTGGATATTTCCTGGCCCCGCTTGATTTCTATATCTATGAGGCTGAACACGCAGCACCTCGGGTGAGAGACTGGGATGTGATTTTTGTACTAAATTATATTCTTAATCATTCATAAGAATGAAGAGACCCTCATGACTTAGGGTCATTTCCACTTCCACAGATGGCAATTTCTCCATTTATACAAGCCCCTCCATTAGTCTACCCCCTGGAACAGATACCTGTACGACCAACCAAGCTCCCTCTCTGCCCCTCTGCCCCAAAACCCTCCCCAACACCTTATAAAGAACCTGAACCCCCAACGGTGAAGCCGTCTCCGACCCCATTCAATCCCCATGTCACACTACCCATCTGTGAGCACTACTATAGACAGAGAGGTTATGACTTCAAGATCAGTAATGGCAGGGTTGTGGTGGTCAAGCGTGAGAAGCGGCGAACTCGAAGACGAAGACTAGGCCAGGTAAAGTTTGAACCGTCAGATAAACAATGTGTCCAATTATATTGTCACAAAATTGAATGTGATTGTCTTACTTCATCATTCCTGTGCAGAGGACAATCCCCTTTGAACCAGGCTCACCTCTTCAGGTCATCCTGCAACAGCGCACCCCAGATCAACCCATCACTTGGACTGGACTGGGTTTTGTGCGAGTTCAGGATGGGGCTGGACTTAGATTTAATGTCAGCAATATACCAGCTACTCTTGACTACTATGTAGTTGTCCGCTATGAACCAGAGGTCAGCCAGTCTTTTCATTAAATATTTGAATGTCAGTGTTTGTTTGAAATGTTTTGGTCCATTTCACATTTATGTACTCAAAATATTATCTTTGCAGTCCACCGATGATTGGACAGCTTTTGTGAACGTTGTATCTTTTGGATCAGGGGATAGACGTTGTCTGAATGACCCGTTTGATAAAATGTTTACTCTTCCAGCCTCTGGAAGGTGAGATTTTTGTATAGTGTATTTTGCATATATTTAACAGGTTTTTGTTGAGTGCTAATTTAGTAAAGGGGATTGTTCACCCAAAAAGGAAAATTCTGGCATTGTTTACTTATGTAATGCCCATGCTGTTCCAAACGTGTGATCTTCTTTTTCCTGCAGAATAGAAAAAATACATTTTGTTCATACATTGAAAGTCAGTGGGGTCAAATGTTGGTTTGGACCCCATTACCTTTCATTGTATGAACTATCATTTAAGAGCTCAGGCTCTTGAAAGTATTTTTCATGTCAAGTAAAATTATTACTAGATCTACTTCATCTAACTACATTTAACTCGTTACATACAGGACAGCCACACTGGATCTTCCAATATGCCTCAGTGATGGTAATAAATACCATGTGGACATTACTTTTAGAAAGAAGCCCAGTGCCGACCCTCAGATCAGCTCATACATCCTGATCGACTCTGTAAGATTTCAAACAATCAGACCTTGTTTTTGCAAGATCATTGGAAAAGATGAAATTGAAAATTATCTACCTTTTGTTTAGTAAATTTATTTATCCTTATTCACGTTCCATAGATGGGCCTCATTCCCAAAGTGGACTCACTCCCAAACTTCTGCACACAGTCATATCTAGCTCAGTTTCAGCAATACCGTTGTATTGATTTGGGCGCACAGGCAGGACAGCACACCCTTCCTGAAGTATGTGAGAAACTTATTGGAAGTATGTCAGCTTTCATTCACAATGGTGCAGTGTGTGAGTATCGTCTAAATTTACATCACAGATATACACACGCATTTAATTCCATGATGCATTGTTACCTTGTATTAACTATATGCATCTGTGTAAATCAACAGCTTGCAACTGTCATCATGTTGGAGCGTATGGCTCATCTTGCAGTAAATTTGGTGGACAGTGTCAATGCAAACCCCACGTTATTGGTCGGTGCTGTGATTCCTGTACTCCTCTGACATATGGGCTTGGGCCAGGTGGATGCTCACGTAAGCCACATTCTCATATTCAGAGATGACATGATATATAACATATTATTTAAAAAAACATTTTCGAAACCATATGAAATATGAATACAAACAGAATGTTTTTAGAACATGGCACATGTTTCGTAAACTAGATTCTTTATCTTGGACATTCTTATTTGTTATTGACTCCTCTAGCATGTGACTGTGATCCGTCTGGCTCTACCGCTGAGCTTTGTGACCAGACAACTGGTCAATGCTCATGTCGAGAAGGAGTAACTGCTCGTCGATGTGATAAATGTTACCCTGGTTACTACGGTTTTCCCCTGTGCAGACGTTGCCAATGCAACGGGTTGGCTGACATCTGTGACCTGGTCACTGGAGACTGTCTGGACTGCAGGGAACACTCCGCTGGACCCCACTGTGAAAGGCAAGAGAGGATTTGATATCATATTGTTTCATTTTCAGTGTTACACTACAATAAATTAATCCTTACAATTAAAAGGATAGTTCACCCAAAATTTTTAATTCTGTCGTTAATTACTCACCCTCATGTCGTTCCAAATCCATAAGACCTTCGTTCATCTTCAGAACACAAATTCATATATTTTTGATGAAATCCGAGAACTTTCTGATTCTGCATAGACAGCAACGCAACTGACACGTTCAAGGCCCAGAAAGGTAGTAAGGATATCGTTAAAATAGTCCATGTGACATCAGTGGTTTAACCTTAATTTCATGAAGCTAAGAGAATACTTTTTGTGCATAAAGAAAACAAAAATACAGCAATAACCAACAGCAAAAGCAATTCAGTAGCAGAAGCGTAGCAGATTTATTCCACCAAGACTAAATAAATAAACACTGTCAAATCCATTACCATGCTAAAATCTTCTGAGAGTTGTCATAATAGAAATATCTTAATTTGTGTTCTCAAGATGAATGACGGTCTTATATATTTGGAACGACATCTGGGTGAGTAATTAATGACAGAATTTTCGTTTTTGGGTGAACTATCCCTTTAAGATGCTAATGGTCATTTTCTGTTCTAGGTGTAAGGATGGTTATGTTGGTGGCCCTGTTTCTGGGAAGCCATGTGAGCCATGCTTATGTCCAGATGTGAACGGAAGTGGGCGCTTCTTTGCCATTTCCTGTAATAAAGATCCATACTCTGGAGCTCCATACTGTGAATGTCTGCCTGGACATACAGGTCCTTGTTCACTCTTTCATACAAAGCATTTCCAAAACCATCAAAGAGTCTTCCCGTTACGCATTTGATGTAACACAGTGAGGGAAGTAAAGATACAACACTGTAAAATAAAAACACCTAAATTTTACCTTACTCTTGTAGGCCTAAACTGTGACTCCTGCTCTCCTGGTTACTACGGTGATCTGAGGTTGCCAGGCGGCCGATGTGAGGAGTGTTGTTGCAACAATAACATTGATCCTCGTGACGGTGAAGCATGCGATGCTGTAACTGGCGAATGTTTGCGGTGCTTACATAACACAGAGGGGCCACGCTGTCAGAGCTGCAAACGTGGATACTATGGCAATGCACTCACTCAAGACTGCAAAGGTACAGGTTTAAAAGGATACATTGCTCTATTATTATTATAATTATTATACATTTTATTTATAGGCGCCTTTCATGGCACTCAAGGACACCCTTACAAAGTCCATAAAACAGGGTGAAACAATAACATTTAAAAAAAATATATGGTTAATGTGGCCCAAATAACAACCAAAAAGAACCAAATTTCTCTGGTTTCCTATTTCTAATTACAAAACAATGACAACGCAAATGATAAACATTTTAGGGGCTTTCACACCGGGTAGTTATAGGAACTAGCCACCAGGGCGGGTGTGTTTACTGTGTGTTTACATGGCTTTTTAGAAATGGCGGGTGCCATATGGCTTGAGTTCAGCCAATCAGCATACACTTACGTCACTGGTAGTCCCTGTTGTACTTGGTTATACCCTACTCTGAAGTAAGAGCTAATTCAGTCCCCGCAAAAGGCATTCCTGTAACTAAAATTGTTCCCAGTTCCTGCGGATTGAACACATGAAAAAGTGGGTATTTCCAGCAATAATTATAGCAACTAAGAAATAGATAACTTAGAGAAAACTGTTAATGTGGCCCAAAATATAAGCACATACATTTTAATATTGAAGTCATAATCAAACGGAGAAGTAGTAACAGATATTTTCTTCCATATTGTAATGTTCATCCCAGTGATTATCATAACTGATTATCGAAAAAATTGGGCAAACTCTCAGTTGTTAATTGGTTGGTTTGAGTTGAGGGTGTTGCATTCAAAAATGAATGCGAGCTTACAGTTGATTGGGAAGAGGTGAGGTTTAAGTGGACTAAATGACTGGCTTATGTCACCAGATCTAGTGTGACATTTTGATGAAATCCAAAAAAGAAGTAACAACTACATGGATGAATCATTCACAATCAGATCTATAACGTGCATTTACAAAACAGATAGGATAAAGACGTTTTTTATATGGGACAAAATGCTTCATGTAAATTACGCATTGTTTTGGCAACAGATATTTATTATTATTTATTAAGTTTTTATTTGCCTTCATAAACAACATATGCCATGTTTTTATTGTCTACTTAGAGTGTTCTTGTGACCGGAGGGGCACAGATGACACAAAGTGTCCAGCTGGAAGCCCCTGTTTATGTGACCAGGAAACTGGCCAGTGCCCATGTCGCACAGGTGTCAAGGGAACCCTATGTAATGAGTGTGAGGATGGATACTGGAACCTGGATGGGGAGTCTGGGTGCCAGCCATGTAATTGTGATCCAGAACATGCTCTCAACTACATCTGTGTCAAGGTTAATATCTTCCGTTTATATAATCATTCATACAATAAATTCACTTTAGAAGAAGTGTCTCGTCACATGGATGGCTATAATGGATTTTTGGGCTTTACACCTATACTTTATGTCCTTCTAGATCACAGGCCAGTGTTTCTGCCAGCCAGAGTATGGAGGCAGAAAATGTGATGAGTGTGGGCCGAATCACTTTGGAAACCCAGATATACAGTGCATGTGTAAGCTAATATACACAGAGTTTTGCTCTCTTCCAAGTCATTGTCTGCTGACTAAAACAAAATTATATCATCTTTTGTTCAGCTTGTGACTGTAACATGGAGGGGACCATTTATCCAGCTTGTGACCCTTACACGGGTGAGTGTTTGTGTAAGCCAGGGGTGACTGGCCTTTTCTGTGATGACTGCGCCCCAGGCCATGACACAAACTTTCCTGCCTGTGAACCCTGCCATGACTGCTACCACCTCTGGGAGAAAATTGTCTCAGATGTTAGACTAGATATTGAGAGGATAGAAACTAAAAGGCCATGTCCTGAAGACGATCGGCCTATATCTGAACTACAAAACTTAAGGAATTTGTTGGAGAAGCTGCAGAGTTGGGCTAACATGACTGCCAAGGATGAGCTAAACAAACTAGAGGAGCTCTTGGCACGCATTAGGTAATATAATTTTACACAATTTAATTGACATACTATAATATTTCTGGGTCAATGACACAATGCTCATTTTTATTCCAAATCAATTAATTTTTTCAAATATATAAGATGATTAAGATGACTATTAAGATGACTATTAAATACATATCTTCTATCATGAACATGTTTTTTGAAATGATGCAACTGGGAATGATTACAGTAGTCTTGTACAATGCCCACTTTTATCTTACATGTCTTTCTACTTACTCCTCAGGAACGAAACAGAGACCATTGACCCAAACATAATCATTATTGATCCAACCATACTGCTCAACACTGACATCGACAATATCCGACTTGAGTTCAACAGACTCTTGAAGAATCTCGGGGAGAAGACAAAAGAGATTCCAGCGACAGATGTAAAAGCTATTAATGGTTTGTAAATGAAAAGTCAAATCTCAGTGATTACCAACATGAAAAGTTGGTTTGGCAGAATCAGAGTGCCATTTGTGAACATTATAACACTTCATTTCGGCTTTTAAAGGCATTGTGAGCTATTATGCAACTACTGTGTGTGTCATTTCTATAGATATTTTAAATAAGATCAAAAAGCTCTATGAAGAATTCACTGACAGTGAGAAGAAAGTGGAAGCAGCTAAAAAGGCCCAAGAAGCCTCCAGGAAGACGAGAGAGAATGTTACATTGGAACTTTCAAAGTGTCGTATAGGAGAAATGGAAAATCTGGAGAGGAAAGCGAAAGCTCTGAGTGTTGCCAGCCTCAACGAGGAGGTGAATGAAGAGTAAAACTTCATTCTGCAATTTGAAGAAGAAATATATGTGTATTGCAGTGACAAATTTTCTGCCGTAGGTCTGTGGGGCTCCAGGCGATGCAGAATGTGAGAAGGCAAAATGTGGTGCAGCTTCATGTGGGATATGCGGGGGTCCTGCCTGTACAGGGAGTTTACCCATCAGCCTCAATGCCTCCAAACTGGCAGAGATGACCGAGAAGAACATTACCGATCTGCGCAGTAAACTCAAGGAAGCTGATGCTAAGGCACGTCAAAAACATACCGCAGATTTACAACGCCACATACTGGTCTGGCATGTATACTACATCGTTTTGTGTCAGTTTTGTGGTTTCGTGTGGACGCAGATATTTCTTGAGACGAGGGAAAAAAAAGATCGGATAGGGAAAGCTCTGGCTTCGTGCGGACATAGCCTTAATGTGATGTGAGGGATGAATCTGAAGAATACATTTTTATTTAGGACAAAACTACCACTTACAATTACAGTACATTTAGAGTAAAATAAAATGCACATGGTAAAATGTAAATTTAGTTGAGTATTGTACCTTAACAGACGAGCTGGTGAAGCCAGAGGACATTGAGAAACTGGCCAATGCTGTGCTGTCCATTCAGCTGCCCAAATCCCCTGATGAGATCAAGGACATGATAGAGGACATCAAGAGGATCCTGGCAAACGTCACAGACTTCGACGATGATCTAGAGCACTTGGAAAAACAAGCCAGAATTGCTGAAGACATGAAGGAGAGGGCCCAAGAAATCTTGTGAGGCTGCAGTAATGAAGTCAATGTGTCAAAGCTGTAGTTTTTACCATTTCATTGTGCTTTATAAAGCTAAACTTGTGGACACCAGCATCACTAATCCTGTTTGGTTGTTGCATAACCAGGAACAGAACCAAGGCTATCAATGTGAGGGAGATAGAGAAAGCACTCAATGATACAGCAAAGCTCAATGACAAGATAGTCTATGATCTGGAAGAGGCTGAAGAAAACAATGACATTATCAGGGGGAGAGTTAATGAGGTAATGGTTTATTTTACTAAACAATACATGCACGTTTAAAGGAATTTTTACTCACCTTCATGTCATTCCAGACGTGTATGGTGTAACTTTCTTTACTTTTTGATTTGTTGTTTTGCTCTCAATGCATTATCACTTATTTTGAGAGATAATTTCTACTTTTTTGCCCTAATAAACTGCTTTATAACAATATTTTCTCATCACTTTTAAACAGACTGAACCTAAACTCAAAAATATTGAGGATAATTTGGATTCGACTCGTGCCAAAAAGTTACTGGATGAAATCAAGGCCTTGAAGGATAAGACGGAGATGAACAGAGCTCAGGGGAAGGAGGCCAAAGATGCTGCCAATGCAGTGCTTGAGAGTGCCAAAAACATCGAAAAGGTAAGTCTCACAAGCACAAATACATATATTTATTTAAATAAGCTATATGTTGGATGTACAAACATGGTTGCTGTTTAAAAGTGTACTAATAGTAACCTAAAAGATGGTACAGCTGCCTTTAGATATAGCATATTTAACCTGTTATAAGTGGATTGCTTTTCTCCATTGGTAGGATCTTGAGGAACTGAAAGAGCAGTTTGAAAAGTTAAAATTGAATAGCACAACCCAGAATGTTAATGAAGAGGCTAACGAACGTCTGAAGAACATCACAATAGAGGCAGAAACACTGGCTAAAAATGTGGAAGATAAAATGAAGGAAATTGAAGGTACAGTATCATAAGAAGCAGTATGCATTGGGATTTAACGGGTTACAGATTTCTATAGGTGTTAATTTCTTGTTAGCAATAGAATTTTTTTCCTTTATCATTGTCGTTTCAGAATTGGAGAAAAGGATTCTGGTTGCAGCTGAAAGAAAAGAGGAAAGGATAAAAGATTTGGAGGCACTGCAGAAGGAGGCAGATGACTTGAGGAACTTTATTGTTGACAAAGTGGATAAATACAATCTGTGCTCCACTTAAGCCTGCTAGGGCTTCTCTTCCTCAAATTTAGAGGAAGCATTTCCAGTGTTTGCCATGGGAAAATTCTGAAGGCAACGCAGGGCAAAACGGTCTTGGACTGTTTACAATCTAGAGCTATGTACTGGTTCTCATCAAGCCCTAGAAATACTTAATGACCATATTCTGGTTCTGTTCAGTTTTTTTTATTTGTTTTGTATTTATAGTATATTTTTAGCAAATGATGGGCCAAGTTTGAGAATCTTATATAGGTAATGTATAACCCTGACTGTCCACAAGAGGTCGCAAGAGTAAAATTTAAATGTCGCCTATCACACAAACTATGCAGCGTTGTTTCCGTTGCTTGAATCTAGAGTACCACAGCAAACCCAATCATATTTTACTCAAGTTATTTGCTTGATGAATTGAAAAAGATGAGATAAAAAGAATGTGTGCTGCAAACCAATGATAACAAAATTTCTTTTTATTGAGTTGTTCTCTTATAAGCCACGTTTTCAAATGAATCATTCAAAAAGACTTTGATGAGTTTCGTTTGAATCAGACTGACGTAAATCAGAGATGCAACTTCAATTAATTTATTCAATTCTGTTTAGCTCATTCCAAATTGGCTTATGTCTGAGCTATTTAGGCATATTCCTCTAAGTCTCCTCCAAAAGTATTTTCATTGTTTTTGGTTCATGGATAAGTAATTCAAACCTCTTGATTAAAAACCTACTTCAGCATTACTTCCAGAATTGAGCTCAACAGCTGCTCCATGTGCATTAAGATAAGACAGTCAGGTTTAGACGCCTGCTGCTTGTGGAATGTGCTTGTTTGTCTCTCGCAGGAGGTGGAGGGTCTGTGCTTTTGTCCTACGGTGTTAACAGCCTCTCCGTTGACTATTCAATTGCAAAACCAAAGGTAAAGCCCCACTGATGTTATTTCTTTGGTCTGTCTGAGTGGATCTTCTCACCTTTTTAACTACTTTATTGTTGTTCAGACACACTTTGTTTTGTCAGAGTTAATTTCATCTTCATTGGGTGAAGATAAAGGGAAAAAGTCATGAAACAGATGATGTTTAAAATGTTTTAAAACAATTCTACCTGATTGTTAAAAATGACTTTTTAAAGTAACCTAATGTAGTTGATTGAATCAGCCATATTAAGTAGTATTTTTGACTTGAATAAAAAAGGTAATTTAGGTGTTACAACTCGAAGTTACTTGACTGAACTTGTTTTTGTGGTCAGTCTGCTGAATGAGTAAACTGTGTCTTTCAGGTTTCAGAAGGATCTGCAGATATTAGTTGTGTCACCTCACCTAATCTCTTCCTGAAGTTTACAAAGCGAAAACAAAGAAAAACTCTACACAAGCTGGTTAAAGGTGACAGGATGTAGGATGGAAACAATTTAGGTTTCACTTTTTACAATGTATGCTTTGTAGGACTTGCCTAACTTAATATCTAAATATCTGACCACTTTATTGCCTTAATATACTGATAATTCAAATCTCCGGTTTAATTCCTAATGTCTAAACTGACTGAAGTCTGTGTTTCTCTTCTTGGTCATTATTACACTAATTTATCTCAGTCAAGACAACCACCAAATCCACATCAGTTCGACATGAACCTCCTGCTCTTTGACTGACCTTTAAAAACTGTCTAATTACTGAGGCAACCTAAAGCCATTTCACTGATCACAGGTCAGTTCATTTTAGTGTATCATTGGAAGTAAGAATAGCTGTTAATAAAATGGTTAGGACTTGTAATTGTGCGTGAGAATCTAGATTACTATGTAAAATGGTAATTTTATCTTTTAACAAAAACACTGCAACCAAGAACGGTTTTGACTTTCTCTTAACATTAACAACAAATACCACGTAGTAGTAGTACCATGGTTTTCAAGAAAATGTACCACTGTTGTACCATTATTGGTACCTTGGAGTACATTGAATGAATAGCCTGTAGCAGTCTATGCATAACATTTGATTTAATTATCATTATTAAAACATGGTATAACCACAATTAAAGTAAATTTAAGATAAATTCATCTGACGTTTCGTTGTTCTCTCCCTATTTGAAGAGGGTAAAATATCTTTGCCGAGTCTGAGGTACCGTTTCAAATCCCCTCAAATGGCGCGTTTTCATCAAATACGCAAATAATTACTACCAGTGTTATTAATTTTACATGTACAGTCGTCTCGAGTGTACTTAAACCTATACTTCAGTGCTCTTTTAATTACTTTTATCCGTTTTTCACTGGCCGTTGCTTACCTCAAGACCACCTTCGAAAATGGGGGAGGGAGCGCGCGAGACGAGTCGAAGCGTTGTGCGCATGCGCAGAAGATTAGCGGCTGAGGAGAAAAAGTTTCGCGCAGCTCCAGCTGCAGTAAAGCAGCAGCACAGTCTGCAGGAATCAGACTCAGCTCTGTACTTTCCAAGCAAAATCAGGATTACTGCACCCCGGCTGAAGAAAGAATCTAAAAACATGCTGTTACAGCTCGCAGCCCTTTTAAGTAAGTTTCATTTTAGTTTTATTGGGGCAAAGTCACATTTATGCAGAGGTTTGACCTATATATAAAGCATAGTTTCTCAAACTTTAAGCAAAAATGAAATGATAATTTATGTAATTGTATCAATTATATGTATTTTACACCATTGCCTGTTCATTTGTGAATTATATGCTGTCTTACTGCACATAAATTAGCTTTTTTACGTTTAAGGTTTAATAAATATACTTAATTTGTTTCATCTTAATAATATATATTAATATAAGTATATGTGTGTGTGTGTGTGTATATATATATATATATATATATATATATATATAAGCAAGCATGTCAGCCTCTTTTTAGCTTTTCTTAAACTGAAACTTAAAGGACCCTAAAAATGCAAGCAAACAAAGCCTATATGGTATTACATTTCACTACTACCAGATGCATATAAAAGTTTTTCTTCCACAAAGTTTTAGGGGCATGGGGTCTCGCAGATGTGCCTGAGCTGGGAGATGTTTGCACAGAGGGGAGCTGTTATCCTGCCACAGGAGATCTTCTCATTGGAAGAGCACACCAACTCTCGGCCACCTCCACATGCGGACACCAGAAACCTGAGCCTTTTTGTATCGTCAGTCATTTGCAGGTAACCTATGTGCTGCAAACCGTTATCCTTCATTGTTGATTAAATATAGCTGTTTTGGCATTAAAAGTTTAGCAATGAAGTTTGAATTAAAATTACAATGTGCTATCATCATTACGTAGTGGTATAAATTTGTTTTATTTTTCAAGTTGCAAAATGTTGCAAAGACAAGCATTAATTTTATGGTCACGCCATGCCATCAATTGATATATGTTCATCCGGAATGAAAACTGCACCCCCTTGGGCTCTATACTCAGCCTGATAATTGTATTGTAATGCCACAATTGAGAATTTATGTGTTTTATTTCCACTTGTGGGATTTCTTCTAACACCCTTTGGAGCTTTTATCTGTAACATCTTCAGAAAGAGATTTATTGCTGTCCTGTTATTTCATGTGGGTGTTTTTGGAACATGTTTGTCTTTAGAGATTTGTTTCCTTCGACTCTTGAATGTCTAGACTACTTCCTTCTAGACAAAACGCCTTAAAATGTTTTACGTAGGGCCATTGAACATCTTATGTGGGTCTTCTGAATCTTCAAAAATGCAATCTGCAGGTTTATAGGGGTTTGTTGATGCTATGGCTGAGTGATAATCGCTCATGCCACACCATAATAGAGAGATAATTACTTCCAAGTTTTGACTCGAGACATATTGGATCAGTTCTTTTGATCAGTTTATCTTCATCTCTTTTCACGTTTAATAATTTAAAACAAGGTGGTGTCATCAAAGAAAAATCTTTGCAGTGCAACATATTGAGTTGGAGCTGAGGTCAAATGGTGGCGGCTATGAGGTGGAGGTGGACAGGAACTTATTTTAACGCACTAGTCACATTACAACACAATATATGTCCCAATTTTCAAGCTAATTGCCCTCAAGTGAGTCAAATTGCTCTAATAGGTATTTAATTAAGAGAAAATGTCACAAAGCAGCTCTGAACATCTGGCCTGCATATGAAACCAATGCTCTCTGTGGGCCATCAGACTTTGAAAAAGCTGTGTCATGTAAGCCAGACCAAGTGGGTTGACTTGCTTCAGTATCTCAGAGACCCTTACAGTCATTAATTTCATTTGGAGAAGTTCTTGCGTCACAAGAATGCCATTGACATTATCTGTTTTTTCCACCCCGTCCATCACAGGAAGAGAAGAAGTGCTTTGTGTGCGATTCCAGGGGAACCTACGATGAAAGCACGCACCAAGTAACCAGCCACAGAATCGAAAATGTCGTGACTACGTTCGCCCCGAACCGCCTCAAGACTTGGTGGCAGTCAGAAAATGGTGAGTTGTGTTGTGACTCCAAACCAAACAATTGCTCATCTTCCTTTCTTTTCAATACTATTCAGTACTATTTTAGGTGTTTGCTCAGTCTTGGATGTGAAAGACCGTGTAGTTCTCACGGGAATGTAGGAAGGCTGTGAAACAAGGTCTTATTAGAGGGAACTCTCCCTCATTAGTGTGTCCGTTAGTTCCCCTATAATCAGACCAATGGAGGGACTAACTACTTCAAAGCAGTTGCGTAATTGCTGACCAGTTAAGGTGATGACCAGTCTTTAAAGTGTGGAATGACATCTCTTTTTCCCTTGGGAAAGAGTTTTCTACCTGCCAATTGAAGATTGTGTCATTTATCCCATGCTGTTTCAATCCAATAAATTAAATTATGGACCTTTTTCACATTTCTGGGTTTCTCAGAAGCGGAAGTCGTCATAGTTGGGTTAACTTGAATAGCAGTGAATGGGAGAGTACCACAAATATATTTTTTACTTTCCCATTTGCTCAAATAGCAAAAGAAAAACTCCACGATAGTGTTTTCGTGACTTTCAATAAAAGGAAAAAAATTGAGAGAGACTGATAACAGCAGTCAGAAGAGAGAACGATGTCAAATTTACCGTCCCTCCCATAGACGCTGCATTAGAAACACTATTTCATATTAAAGTTAGCGTTAGCTATATATATATATATATAAAACAATAAAATTTAAATGTTATTCTTTTTCTTAGAAAAAAAATATTCACTGCTTATTAATGTTTGAAAAAAGTCTGCCAAATCAAAGTCATGTAACTCAATCAATATGCAGAAAAAAACATAAAACAGAAAATATCAGGACCTCAGCAGAAGTCAGTATGTCTCTTAAAATATCAAATAGTTTAATCTTTTCATGACAAGGTTAGTTCAGGTTGTAAAATGTCATGTGGTGCTCTGAAAACCTGAAAATATTTATAAATTATTAATTCATTATAATTGTGAAAAACACTTTTTACCTTTTTAAATATATTTTAAAACATCAAAATGATGAATAAGGCACAGATGGCAAATAAGATACTCTCAGACACTTATTAATGTACTCAATTGTTTTTTCTTGATTTTAAAAACACATTACATTTTTAGTTATTCAGTAAAATGATATAAAAGTTTTCAAAATCATTTATAGTCATTTATAAGTACTAGCATTTTGCTTATTTTTTTTGTCATAGGCACTCTTATTTTTACTCTTAGACTTGTGTGACCCTTAAACAACTGTCATTGGTTGTTATGTTATACAACCTAATTTTGAATATGCAGAAATGCAAATGTAGTTTTGAGAGCAACTTTCAGTGAACAATGACTTAAAGTCTATTCTATTCCTCACATCGTGTTAGTTTTTTAGGAAGATTGTAAGACATACTTTACCTCGGAAAACTCCCATTACCCTACAACCACCCACTCGGTTGAGTTGCGAAACACCTTCTTCAGCCAACATCGAGAAGGTCCAGCTGTTGCAAGCGATTAGAATGTACAGTTCTACAAGCCATATGTTCCTCGATGAGACAAACAGACAGAGGAAATAGAAATCCAGAGATTTACTGGTTATTGCAGTGGAGGAGTGTGAAATGTAGTGGGACAGGAAACGAGGGGCCATGAATGCAACCAGAGAAGCCTGTGAATGTATGGTTTAGGAGAGAGTATGGGGTAGGAGGACAAAGAAGATACAGCAGCCAACTGGGCCAAAAGCCTGGGAATACCAGGGGTGACCTCATATTTAATTAAAGATATGACTCTGTTTATTCTTATTTTTGATGTTTATGGACCCCCAAAGCACTTTCCCACTAAAAAAGCAGATGTTTAGTGTAACTATAGAGCAGTAGAGGTCTGCAGTACTATTAGGGCAATTGTGCATTGCTTCTTAATGTACAAGATGCAGATGTTCCTTTTAAAATGGTGTAAATTGTACTGAAACTATGTTGCTTAACCCTTCCTTTACAGTTCCAGTACCTTAATGGAGAAAAATTGGTAACACTTTACAATACAGTCCCATTAGTTAATGGGATAGTTCACCCAAAAAATGAAAATTCTGTCATTAATTACTCCCCCTCATGTCGTTCCAAACCCGTAAGACATTCGTTCATCTTGGGAACACAAATTAAGTTATTTTTGATGAAATACGAAAGCTTTCTGACCCTCCGTAGACAACAGCGCAACTGACACATTCAAGGCCCAGAAAGTTAGTAAAGACATCGTTAAAATAGTCCATGTGACTTCAGTGGTTCAACCGTAATTTTATGAAGCTACGCGAATACCTTTTGTTCGCAAAGAAAACAAAAATAACGACTTTTTTCAACAATTTCTTCTCTTCTGTCAGTCTTCATCGCACGTTCACGACAGTACCATAATGTGTAAAAAACAACTGTTCATTGTTATTTCTTGTTAGCTCAGGTCCATAAAATAATATTAACAAATGCAACCTTTGACTTTAACAATGTATTAATAAATGTTAAAATTAACATTGACTAAGATTAATAAACACTTAAGCAGTATTTTCATTGTTAGTTCATGTTAACATGTGCAGCTAACTAAGTTTAACAAATGAAACCTTATTGTAAAGCATTACCAAAACATAATACCAAAGATCTTTTTAATCTCAATTGTTTCTTCTAGCCAGCAATTAGATTAAATAGAGAACAAATAGAGACTTTCATTTCATTTAGAAACTTTAAAGGATTTGCTTAAAACTACTATTTAGTAAAACACTTTTTTTTTTCCCCGAAAATAATAATTAATATATTAACATATATTCAAGGTAGGGTTCATAACAAATAATGATAGAGAATAAAATGAGAATTGTCATTATTATCACCCTTGTTTGTAAAACAATAGAATATATTAAAAATATATATTTTCTATATATTTTGTTGTTTTATGCATAGAATGAAAGTGAATGGGGTCCAGTTTTAAGCTTTTAGATTGCAAAACAGTGATGCCATAGAAGATGATTTTTGGTTCCCCAAAGAACTTTTCAGTCAACAGTTCTTAAAAGAACCCTTTTTGTGTGTGAAGAACATTTTAAAAATTGAAATAGCTTTTGTATACTAGTGGAATGGAAAGGTTCTCCTGATGTTAAAAGTTCTTCAGGAAACCACAGATGCCGGTAAAGAGCCTAAAGAACATAATAAAGAACAGTTTGGGAGTTAACAAATGGAACTGCATTAATAAATGTGGAGAAATACAACTCTTTGTCTTAACTCATGTCTTTATTGCTCTCTTTCTCAGGCCTGGAGAACGTCACAATCCAGTTGAACCTGGAGGCAGAGTTCCACTTCACCCACCTCATCATGACCTTTAGAGTAAGTGCTGAGGACAGTCAGTTGGTGATGTGTGTTTTGGGGGGAAGGTGTCGCCACAGCCCTGGGCTGAGGTGAGATTTGCGGTCGTTAGGAGAGAATGTGGGAAGGGAAGGGGGGTCGATGTGGATTTTGCTGGGAGGAGGGGAAGTGTTGCTCAGTGTGTGGGAGCCGTGGGAGGTCTGGGATAAACCCAGCTGTGCAGCCGACTGAGACGACTGGAATGCTTCAGCTGAAGATTACATTTCAGCATGATCTCACTTCAGCAATACAGTTCAAAGAAATCAGAGAGCGCATATGAAAACGACTGGCGTCAAGAGAACAATAGTGCTCATGTGATGTTGATTGCAAAGATTGTTGGGAAACTGTACAGGAACAAAACTTTCATCACTGTTTGTTTGTTATAATTAGTGCCAAATTATGAAACGTGATGTAGTTTCAAAATAAAATAATATATATATATATATATATATATATATATATATATATGTAACATTTTATTATGAAAATACTTGACTAGTTTCATAATTTCTCACAATCTGCTGTTTATTTGTTGTTGGATTTAACTAAAAATTAAATTAATGGAAACTATATAGACATTTAAAAAACTGCTAAAAATGACAAGAACATAAACAAATTATGTAAGGAAGGATCAATTCTGATGATGCAGGATTATCATCCATATTGAAAGTATCGTTCTCAAGTCGACCGTGACCTCTTATGCTCCCTATCTAGACATTCAGACCTGCTGCTATGGTGATCGAACGGTCGTCAGACTTCGGGAAGACTTGGCAAGTGTACCGTTACTTCGCCTATGACTGTGAGACCTCCTTCCCCTTCGTCTCTCAAGGACCCATGACCAAAGTGGACGATGTTATCTGCGATTCCCGCTACTCCGACATTGAACCCTCAACTGAGGGTGAGGTGAGCTCTGGAAATGCACTGCACTTCTGGTGAATACTTGCTCATATACTGGATTTTCCATTTACTCTTGTTCCTTTGGCTTCTGAAGGCCATCTTTAGGGTTTTGGATCCAGCCTTCAGGATTGATGATCCCTACAGCCCCAGAATTCAAAGTAAGGACACAAATGAAAACATTTGAACATACATGCTTGTCATTAAGTGGCCTAATAGTGTGAACCAAATTTCTTCTTGCTTCCTTTTTATAGACATGTTAAAGATCACTAATCTGAGGGTGAAGTTCACTAAGCTGCATACTCTCGGGGACAATCTTCTGGACTCACGTATAGAGATCAAGGAGAAGTACTACTATGCGATTTATGACATGGTGGTGAGAGGAAACTGTTTTTGCTATGGTCACGCATCCGAATGCGCCCCCATTGATGGAGCTGGAGAGGTCATGGATGGCATGGTGAGTTTTATGCCATGCATAATGCAAGTTATTGATAACTTTGATTATTAAATGTTTGGTTTTTTTTAACATTTATATTTTATTATTTTTACATATATTTTTTACAATTATTTTTTTGTACAGTTATAGTATTTATTATTATAGTTATTTTTTATTTTTATTATATTTTATCATTTTTCCAAATTGTTCCCTCCAATCACCACCACAAACTGACTTAGCAATCACGTATGAGCTGAAATTATGAAATTTTAATGCAGCATCATACCAGAATGAATTGTAGATTAAATAAAGCTAATTTAATAGGAAGTCGTTTTTGATTTATGCCACATTTAAATGCAGCAGACCTTTTTGTGGCTTTTTAAACCTCTGCTTTGAAGAAAACATCTCACAAAAATTTGTCATGGAAGAAATCGTTTGAAGTCCCATCACAGTCTGCTGCTAATTCAGTTTGGATCTGTTTCACATTAGTATGAAAGTATGCGGACCGCCTCGTGGTTTCATTATTGAATAGTGTACAGTGCAAATAATCATGTGGCAGAGAAAATGCACGCAGTGTCTGTTGTTTACAAACCTTTTTTGGTTTTGTTTCATTTATGCTTGAAGTTGTATGTGTTTCTGTGGTTTTATATCAATGATTTGAAAAGCCAAAGACGAAATACACCAAAGGAACGAGGTTCCTGCGCAGTCTGCAGTCTTCTCTGTTTACAATCCGTCTGCACTGAGATGTGTCTCAGTCTGTTGCAGCTCTTACAAAAGAAATGAACATATATTATATCCAGATCTCAATCTCACTACCTTTTTATGTGCAAGAATTTTATTCAAAGGCACTGAAGTGACTCTAGATCATCTCCAGGCTCAGAGCAGTTATGTGAAAGCTCACATATAGACTGCATCTAGATCTGTGTCTGTGCCAGGACTGGAGCTTGTTTAATGTAGACCAGATGCATCCAGTATAAACATTTCCTGTTGCCATCTGGTTTAGGGCCGGATTTGTAGACTGTCCTGAGCAAACTTTTCCCTTTTAGGGTCTGAGTAGGAAATGAGCTCAAATTCATTTTGAGGACTTACTTGTTTATAATTTGTGGTGCCTTTAAATATCCTGTTCCACACATAGTCTCAATTTGATTACATTTATTTTGTTTTTGGTTATCATTGTTATGTCTGTTTTGCCGTAGGTCCATGGCCATTGTATGTGTAATCATAACACCATGGGGCTGAACTGTGAGCGCTGTCAGGACTTTTACCATGACCTGCCCTGGAGACCCGCGGAGGGACGCAACACCAACGCCTGTAAAAGTATGATCTTCTGCAATGTTCAGTTATGGGTCAATGAAATCATGCTCTTTTTTTTTTTGTCTGGATCTATTCATTTATTTAAAAAGAACTTCTTATGACAAAGTTAATTCTGGTTATAAAATGTCTTCTTGTACAACCCAAAAATGTAGTGATATTTATGTCAAAATATAATGAAAATGCACTATTACATTTGACTTGATGGTTACATCACATGACTTTGAGTCATTAAATATATATATTTTTAATTATACATAATGTTTTTAAAAACCGTATGAAACCAGTAGATTTTCAAAAGATTTACTTTGCAAATCAGGTGTTACAAGTTTTGTAACATTCTTTTTGATGTACTTTTGATTCTGCTTTATAGTTTTGAAACATTGGTATTATAGTATTGTATCAATGTTATTGCATGAGAGTTCCTAAACAATGCTGACATTCTATTTTTTAGTACAATTGTTACAGTTTCTAATGAAGTTTTGATATCAATATTTTAACTTTGGTATGCTACTAACTCAGATACATTAAACTTTTTGTAACAGTACAAACATGTTTTGTAACTGTTGTAACTTCTTTAAAGAACGTAGTCAAAAATTATTTGTTGTACAATTGTTACTGCTTTATAGTTTTCAAAGTGGTAGTTCTTTGTCGTACAGATATTACAGCATTATAGTTTTTAAATATCGTAATTCTCTTAAGACATTGTTATAGTCTTTAAATGTCATAATTCTTTGTTAAGCAATTGTTACTGCGTTATAGTTTTATAGTTTTTAAATGTAATTCTGTCATGCAGTAGTTACTGCGTTATAGTTTTTAAACATCATAATTCTTTGTTATGCAATTGTTACTGCGTTATAGTTTTTAAATGTAATTCTGTCATGCAATTGTTACTGCGTTATAGTTTTTAAATGTAATTCTGTCATGCAATTGTTACTGTGTTATAGTTTTTAAACGTGGTAATTCTGTCGTGCAATCGTTACCGCATTATAGTTTGTAAACATCATAATTCTTTGTTATGCAATCGTTACCGCATTATAGTTTGTAAACATCATAATTCTTTGTTTTGCAGTAGTTACTGCGTTATAGTTTTTAAACATCATAATGTTTTGTAATTATGCAATTGTTACTGCGTTATAGTTTTTAAATGTAATTCTGTCATGCAGTAGTTACTGCGTTATAGTTTTTAAACATCATAAGTTTTTGTTATGCAATTGCTACTGCGTTATAGTTTTTAAACATGGTAATTCTGTTGTGCAATCGTTACCGCATTATAGTTTGTAAACATCATAATTCTTTGTTATGCAGTAGTTACTGCATTATAGTTTTTAAACATCATCATTTTTTGTTATGCAATCGTTACCGCATTATAGTTTTTATACGTCGTAATTTGTCATGCAGTTGTTAATGCATTATAGCTTTTTTAAACATTGTCATTCTTTGTTATAATTGTTTATTTGTTACAATTGTTACTTGATCATCTGACATCTGACATTTCTTTGCTTCTTTCACAGAGTGTAACTGCAATCATCACTCTGATTCCTGTCATTTCGACATGGCCGTGTATCGGGCCTCGGGTAACGTGAGCGGCGGCGTGTGCGACGACTGCAAACACAACACCATGGGTCACAAGTGTGAGCAGTGTAAGCCCTTCTTCTACCAGCATCCGGAGAAAGACATCCGCGACCCCAACATCTGCGAGTGTATGTGTCCCCTCTCATTTCCTCTCCTGTCATTTCCTCTGAGCTTTTCTCTCCTTTCAGACGGCCGCTGCTCCTCTACCTGTCTGGTCTAACACCTGGGCTTTGAAGTAGTCCATTACCACAAGGCGAAGTGCCGCCCTTCCTCAAACCACACGCATCTAGGGTTTCACATTCCTCTTTTGTTGTGGTGACTGAGGTTTTTCAGTTTGAACTTTTTGACCACAAAGCAGAAATGTGGTCTCTGACTTTTACATCAAACTATGATAATAGCTTACAATGCAATACAATTCATTAATATTAATCCAATAATTAACATGGAGTAACAATAAAAATACCATTTATTTATTTGATTAATGTACATTTCTATGTGTATTTTTAGCATTTCAAGTTGTATACATTTAATTAGTATTCATTAATAACTTATAAACAAGCATGAATTAACAAAAAATATACTTATTAACTAATTATTTTGTAGATATTAAAATTAACTTTTAAGTATTAAGTATAAATTAGCATTAATTCTGAACAAACATATCAATGTTAATCGATATATATATCAATGTTAATATATTAACATCTATGTACAATGTAGATTAATAAATTCTGTAAAAATGTGTTCATTGTTTGTGAATGCATTAACTAATGTTAACAAACTAAATTTTATTGTTGTGTGTCCAGTGTTTGTTGTGTGAACAATGCTAAACAATGGAAGTATCTTTCGTGAACTTTGTACTAGATAGTTGTAACAAAATTAGTTGCGAAAAAAAGTATTGCGATAAAAAAGTTGACACAGAGCATCTTTACTGCTGCATTGATACAGTATAAGAATCATCATGGCTCCGTTTGTTAATTTTCCCAGCTGTCCACAGTTCTGTCCATTGTCTTTAAGTACGCTGTCCGGATTGATCTTTTCCAGCCTGTAACTGTGATCCGGTCGGCTCTCTCGACGGTGGAGTGTGTGATCCGCTGACAGACGTGTCTCTTGGGCTGATCGCGGGTCAGTGTCGCTGTAAGCCTAATGTGGAGGGTGAGCGCTGTGACCAGTGCAAACAGGGCCATTACGGACTCAGCGACGACCCTCTGGGATGCCAGCGTAAGTCCATGCCTTACACAATATAGCCAACCCAAATCATTAATTCATTCATGTGAAAATGGTTTTGAAAGATCTCAAATAAAAGTTGCTTTTGTTTTGTTGTTACCCAGCATGCACATGCAATGCTTTGGGGACGGTTCCAGGTGGAAGTCCATGTGATACAGACTCAGGAAACTGCTACTGTAAACGTCTGGTTACCGGAAGGAACTGTGACCAGTGTCTGGTGCGTGTTCTGTTTACTTTATGAGTTCATTCATATCTCTTTGTGCAATAGCACTGTGGATGATTTTAGAAACATAACATTGTGCTTTTATAATATGTAATGTGACACTTTTGTAAATTATTGTAAATCACACATA